GATACATACAGGCGCACTTTGAGTCACATGCACTCAGACACACGTACACGTTGTACTTGCATGTCCATGCGGACACACACTGAAATTCAAACACACGCACTCTGATTCAGATACACTTGCGTACAGACATATAGACACATGCGCACACACACACACACACAAACACACACACTAACTTATATGCAAGCACACACACATATAAATAATTCACATGCATACTCAGACACACACATGCGTGCACCACACATAACACACATACACGCACACTTGTACCGAATGAATTGTCGCAGATTGATTCGCTTATGCAGATACAGCATATTGAAAAAAAAAAAAAAAAAAGAAGAGAACATTCCTTTCGTTCTGTCTTTCATCCTTTCTTCGAGACAAATGGACACAGCAAAGCTGCTGGGGGGCTCGGCATCGAATCTGTGAACTGTGAACGACGAGCACAGGGACGAAGATGGCATGGGGGAGACGGATAGGGGAGGGGGTGAGGCGACCCAAAACAGTCAGGAGTAAAAAATGGTGTGCCAGGAAAGGAGGTCTGCTCCACTGGGAGGAGGAAGAGAAGGAAGAGGAGGAGGAATGATGAAGCACGTGAGGGGGCGGGGGGGGGCTGGGTGGGCTCTACCGGGTGCGTCCGATCAAAAGGATATTTTTGAAACAAGATGGCCGTCGATCAACAGACCAGTGAAACAACAAGTTCCCCATAACAACAATTTGAGCAAGAATTAGTCCTGCCTCGGACGGGTAATTACGCAGCCCCATTGGAACGCCGCTGCTAACCAAAACAGCAGTATCTTCTGAGGCAAATAACCAGTCTCGCAGATGAATCAAAGAGTACAAATTAAGTATACAAATTACATTAAATATATTTTGGCAGTACTTTGCCATAGCTATTGATGTAGAACTTGTGTAGTGATTTTGGTTATTAGCAATTAAACTTTTGCAAAATGCGATCTCTTTTTGTTGTCGTTCATATATTAGTCTCAGTCTTAGTCTTGGTTATGCCCACATGCTCTGATGTATTGCATGTGAGAGTCGTTTTCCCGTCGCCCGGAGAGAGAAAGCACACGGCGGCCATTCGGTGACCTCCACTGATGGCGGACGGCAGCCAAATACATGACATCATCACACATACTGTGCGCGCGTGTGCGCTGGCGTGGGTGTGTTCAGTGCAGGATTTACTCAGCACATTTATTTATTTTTTTGCTTTGTCTTTTATGTTCAGGGCACAAGTTTTTCCCCATTGACTCTGGTTAAAAGTTTGACATGGATCCTCTTTGTCACTGCTTTGAAGCCATGATTGAAAAAAAAAACGACACAGCCGTTTTTGCCGTAAGGTTAGCACGCTTATTTGAACCTCTTGTCGTTTTTACACAGATCTGATCGGCTGGATCGGATTGGCAGATATTTTGCATTTCATGTTAAATCAGCGGTCAGTTGTAATGTCATAGTTTGCCAATCGATCAACGATGTCATCGATCAGATCTGCAAAATAAAACATGAAGCAGACATATTCTCGTTCACTCCCGGGACGTTCAGTGCGTGCTGGCATCGTGAATGATGCAAAGTTTCAAAGCATCTAAAATCGGATATTTTTTTCAATTATTTTCCCCAATATTTTAAAATATAGAAACATATATATGTCATAGAAACATAAGTATGTACTGTGTATCGTTCAACCTGTAGAGTTTGAAGGTCACTACGTATAAATTGTGCGACTCACATGTTTGCTGTGAAGATGTTTGTGACTCAACCGTTTCGCACTTTAGTCTTTCGCGTCTGCAAGAAATGTATGTGAGTGTTCTACATCAACAAAATTGAAGTCATTATCATTGTGAATGATTTTTCCCTCCCGTCTTGGTCCGATGTATCATTTGAATCGGACTGTCAAATAAAGAAATTGTGTGTTGATTTTCTTCACCGTTACGGCCTCCAATTTTCAACCGTCAAAAACTTTCTTTGTAAATAGGACCTCAAGTGTGGCTGGTTCAGCGTATGAGTCGTTCATATGTGTAAGAAAACCATGGCTGCATGAAAAAAAATGTCAGAATTAGGAAAAAAAAAAACATTTTCCACACGTGCCTTTCCCGTTCTCAACAGAATGATACGAAAATGAAGAGCCGCGACGTAGCCTCACTCATGCACGCACGTACGGTACCTCCGTCGTCCTCGTCAAAGGAGTTCATGCAGGGGAAGTAGATGGCGAGCGCCTCGAAGGACGCCGACAGGCTGATGCGGCTCTGCGAGCGCTCCATGTAGAGGCCGCCCCCACCGGTGGTCCCCCCGCCCGCCACCGGGCCCGGGTCGGCCGGCTTGGCCAAGCGCGGCTGCTGGGCATTCTTCACGCGGAGTACGGCGCGCGGCGTCTTGCACGGCGGTCGTCGGCTGCCCCCCGCGGCGGCAGACCCCCCAAGCCAGCCGGGAAAGGCGAGTCACAAGCCGGGAAGATGCTGGTGGTGCTCGGCGGTGGCGGTTGGCGGCGGCCAGAGGAGGAGGAGGAGGAGGAGGAGACGGAGGGCGAAGAAGAAGAAGAGGAGGGGGAGGAAGAAGAGCTCTCATAGAGGATGCTTTGTTCCTTGCTCCCAGGTCCCAAAAGTGGGATTTGACGCCGTCTTAGGAGGAGAGCTTCTGGAGCTGCGCGGATGGCGCTCGGCTGCGCATCTTCGCGCTGGGGAAAACACGCAACTTTGCACAGAAGGGGGTGAAGGAGGTGATGGCGGCGCCGTTCGCCTCCCAGGCTCGGATGCTCGGCCGGGATCCTTCAGCTCACTTGAGAGGATGAGGAGAGTCTGGCATGGATGAAGGAGAGCAGGGGAGGGAGGAGAGGAGCCAACCAATCACAGGCAGAGGAAGGGGGGAGGGGCGTGGCTATGGCCGGCGGACAAACCTTCAGGCACAATTATGGCCGAGAAAATTAATGGTGACGTTTTTGTTAACTACTCGGCTTTCAAGAATAACGTGTTTTTGTTTTGTGTTTTATTTAATTTTGGGAGGCGGGGGGGGGGCGGGGGGGATATATTTTTTGAGAATTTATTTTTTTTTCGAGAGCAAAAGTCATCATCAACGGAACAATATTGCTGCCAAACCAGAGAAGGTTCAATATTACGTTATAACGTGGTAAATTCCACCCTGGAACGTGATAAGATGAAGATTTTAATGTGACAAGTTTGATTGCCGAAAAGTATTTATTCATTCATTGTGTAATTTAAAAATATTTTTCAACAACAAAAGATGTTCTTGAGGAAGTCTTTTTTTCAATAAAAAAAGTTGAGTTGTATTGGTAGTCTCGCAAAAATAATGAATATTTTTTTATATTTTTATTTTTGTAGTTTTTTTGGGGGGGTGGGGGCACAGGAAAAAAAAATCATATATTTGCTAGAAAAAGTTTTCAAGAATAAAAAAACAACACAATTCTATGTATTTGGTTTTACTGGTAGTTTTTCAAAACAAGAGGTATGATTTTTCTTTTTATTTTAGGTTAAAGTCAGATTTGATCAGATCATTTTTCAAGAAGATGGCTGCCTACATGGAGTATACCACGAGTAAACCCATGAAAGGAGAACATGCCAACTCCATACAGGAAAGCCGGAGCCGGAATCGAACCCACAACCTCTGCACTGTGAAGTGGACATGCTAACCAGTCTTCAGTCATGCCGCCCGTCCTGATCGTAAACTTTACCCCAAAAAAAAGAAATGTCGTCAAATATCAAGCCAAAGTGAAAAAAGGCCTCGCAAAGGTAACCACGGCAACGTGTCACCAACAGCTGACGAAAGGAAGGAAGCAGATGCTCATTTTTCTATTTCAAGCATTTGCACCAGTTTCTCAGTCCTCACCAAAATGTCCCCACGTCAGCCAACGAATAAACATGTCCAACGTTCAGAGAAGCAACAGTGATTTCCCTTCTGGCTCATTAAAAAAAAAAAAAAAAGTTTTCATGCTAAAAAAATAAATGTTTACGTAATTTTTGACGACTGTTTGCAGACACGCTGACGTCACAGAACGTCTCTGGAAGACATCCGCCACACGGGATGAGGACACACGCACGCGTGCGTGCGCGCACGCACACACACACACACACACACACACACTGTGTGTGCGTGTTTCTCTTGTATGAGATGAAGAAACCCAGAAGTTAAGATCAGTTTGGTGTCCGCGTGCAGCTAAAAATGTTATATAACTAAGACTGTCATGATGGATTACCAGGTAGCTGTATAGTGTGTGTGTGTGTGTGTGTGTGTGTGTGTGTGTGTGTGTGTGTGTGTGTGTGTGTGTGTGTGTGTGAGCTGCAACTGAGGCAGCTTTCCAGCTAAAAGTCGACCCCAAAATAAGTTAACCATATTATAAAAAAATCAGTGCTCATTCAATGTTTTTTTTAAATAGAAAATTCCACAAAGACGCGGCCACTTAACAAGATGCTACTAAAAGGCAACCAACACATGAGCTAAGCAGCTAAATAGCTCACAAAATAACCAGCTACACAGACTTCAACAAACTAGCCAACCACTCAATAAACCAGTCAGCGAAAGCGCAAACCTACAAATTACCCAACTCAAGGCAATCAACCAGCTAACCAGTTTATCAGCCACACGACTTGAGACAACATACAAAGGAGCTAACAGTCAACAAGCTAACAAGATCAATAAATAACCAACTAACAAGGAATGTAGCTTACTAGTGAACCAGTTTATAATCAAGTACGGTAACAAACCAAATAAAGAAAAAAAAAAACACCAGCAACCAGCATACCAACAAACGCCATGCTAATAAGCTAACCAGTTAATTGCTAAAATATAACCATCTTAGCAGAAAATTGGTCAACAGTTAATACACTCACTCATCAACCAAATACACTAAGCGTCCCGCAAGCTAAAAAGGTGACATACCAATTTGTTAACCAACTGGACGGTCAACTAAGCACCCATGTGAAGCAGCCTGCCGTGCCAAAATGTCATCTGCCCTTCGAATGAACTAAGCAGCCTACTAGCTAACAAAATAACCAGTGGTAGAGCTTGCTAATCAGTCAATAATCAGTCAACTAAACTGCCAACCACACATTAACCACAAGCAGCTAACAAGACATCCTGCTAACTAGCCAACAAGCCAAAATGTCAATAATAATTTTTTTTTTTAAAAAAGGAAATGGGTCGCTTCTTTTTTGGACGCTTCAGCCTAGTTTTTTTTTCTCTTTCTTTTTTTTCTTTTTGTATGCGTGAAAGTGGGCCGAGGCCTCAGACTCAATTTATTTTGAAAGTAGAGCGGCAACTCACAATTATCTGATCTTCATTGCTTTCTCCCGCCACCTTGGTCTTCCTCTTCGGCCTTTTGAACAATCCCTGGGGAACAACCGCAGGCGTACTTGGTTTATCTTAGCTCAGTGTTCTGACAAATCACCAGAGATTTGCGTATTGACAGGATTAGCTCCACAATTTTGCCTCTGTTTGGCTTTTTGCAGGTGTATCTACTATGCATTTTTTTATGCCGCCAAAGAACGACACGAGTGTTTTTTGTCGCTGTTTTTACATGATATGATTTCCTTTGGGAACAACAATTATTGAGAAAGGATCAGCTTTCCATCCGTGATTTATCATTGACTGCCTTTCACTAAATCAAGGGTCCCTTTGGAGTTGAAAACAAAATCAACGATTGATCGGTTGCTTAGTTAATAGAAAAAGGTGTGCGTCACCATTTGGTTAAATTAGAATCATGAGATCATGTGAAGAAAAGAAAACAGGTTTATTGTTATTACGTCATCAGAGGAAGACGTAATGACGTGTGAGACAGTTTCTTAAGTACTTAGTCATTGAGTTAGAGTTGGTCATTGGTAGGACAGTCAGCATGTAAGTGAGTCACTTCGGTAGTTAACCGGTCACTCAGTCAATCAGTGTGTAAGCCAGTTAGTAGGAGAGCTGGTTAGTCAGTAAATCAGCCTAGTTATTCAGTTAGCGGGTGACTCCATGAGTCAGTCACTCAGTGAGAAAGTCAGTCTGATCAGTTAATGAGTGAGTTAGCCAGTTTGTCAGTCAGTATGACAGTTAGTCATTTACATATTGTGGGGGGGGGGGGTATAATGTGTCCTTGAAGTCGTTCATTGATCGTGATGACAGCTGACGTTCATGCCATGTTCCAGAGCTCTAGAGATAAATAAGGGACCGTAGTTCCTTATGTCCATCATCCGTTTCTTTGCAGCCTCGGTTGCTGTTGACGACGCTCCCGAGGGATCGGTCCCCTGTCATGTGATGGAGAGGCAATCTGCGTCAGCGTTCGCAGCATACTTTGCTCCACGACGTCAATGGGTTTCCTCGTTAAGGCCGCAAGTGGAAAGCGAGCATTTATCCACTAAATCATGAAAATGATAAGCAGGCGCATGCGGCGCCGTCGTGTCACTCGGCCACAAACAAAGGCAACAGTGTTACAAAGTCTGTCAGTTAGTTACAGTTGGTCAATCAGTCGGTCACTAACTTCGTAAACTTGTCAGCGAGTTTTAGTCATAGTCAGTCAGCTGGTTACTTGTCAGTGAGTTGGTTACTTATTGAGCTCCTCAACTGACTTGAACATGGTTCCTTGGCCCCCGAGATGCCACAGAATGACTGCGAAACACTACTTTTATTCAAAGAAAGCGCCTCAATTCACAGCAATTTCGTTCCTTAGCACTGAGATGCCACAAGATGGCAGCAAACTTTTATCTAAAGGCGTCTCCTCAAGCACTCCAACATAGTTCCTTGGTCTAGAGATGCTGTAAAAGCACTAGTTTTGATGAAAGGAAGGTGATTGTTGACTTGACATTCTGTGTTGTGTGTGAGTAGAATTTTCTTCAGAGAAATTACAGTTTTGTCACACATTCTCATTTGTGTCTCTGTTTTGCAGTCAACTTTAACTGGGAGTGACAAATAAACAGCGTGAAATAAGCCCGCCAGGGCTCTTATTCCGAGAACTGTGCGGGACTTCTTGTTTCCTCAGAGTGATGTTATACGATGGTCTCCCATTTCGAGCAGGCATACCTACATCAAAAAATTTTACCAAGACTGCATTTTAACATGTTTATAGCAGCCAGAGCGCCGCGACCGGTCGGTTTGTTGTGAGCACGAAGAGCAACTTGATTGATTTTCAAAACCCGGAGAGCCCCCGCAGCCAGGTGTGAGTTATGACACTTCACAACGTATCGATCACAACGCCGGCAGCCGGGAGCGTGATTGAAGGCACCTTCTCGTCATCGCCACGCCGACCGACCGTGGCGGTACATCGTAGACCCCTGCTACTGGTTGGAAACAAGCACTTGAGATACATCATTTAAATTCTATGGCTTTGGAAATTGGCATAGGTCAAATATCAAACGGTCAACGTCAGAGCAATGTCAAATATGAAAAAAAACACACACGAACAAACGAAAAAAACAAAACGGAAAATCCTTCTATTTTTATCCAATTACCTCCAAACTTGGTGGACCTGTCCACCGATTTGATTCTCTTGCAGGGGTGACTGACCTTGAATTTTAGGATACCTTGGGGTCAAAGTTGACCAATGACAACTAAACCCAACTAAAAATGTTTTCACAGCAAAGTACATTAAGACGTGTCAAATTAAAGGTCTGGAACGGGGCCTTCCGTATATGTAAGTATTGTGGTACTGTAGTGTATTATGTTCATTCATATGACGAGGCAATGGCCACAAAACACGCTTTAACAAGAAGCCAAGTCAAAAGACTCACTGGTAGAAACCGAAGGTCTTGATGAAATCTTTCTGTAGATTTCAATTACTTTGGCGACAGTATGTTGTCAATTGATGGCTTAATAATCACAACACAACGATATCTTGGCCGGAAAACGACAACTGCGACCTTTACTGACACCCGACGGCCGCCAAGGTGAGCCGCAACCGACGTCTAATCAATATTGCGTCATGGGAAGGAAGGTACAGAGGCAGATCGGTAATCGGTCGTTCGCTTCAAACCTTCATTTCAAGGCCAACTTGAATCCTTAACTCAGTCTTGTTTGAAACTCTACTTTGAAATCCTTTAAAGCCATAAGTGGATACCTGAAGTCCAGCCCTGAACCAGGCTTGAAACTCTACCTTGAAAGTTTAACCTTGGCTCGAGATCCTAATTTGAAGCCCTACTTTTAGAAGCCCTAACCTTTGCTAGAAGCCCAACTTCAAAAACGTAACCCATTTTTTGCCTTGAAACCTTACTTTTAACGCCTAACCCTTGTTTGAAGCATTACGAGGACCTATTAGCGCATGAGTGGGCACTTCGACTTTGTTTACATCACACAGTAACAAGCCCCTCAGCACCCCCCTAAGCAAAATGTCAGTTGACACCAGGATGAACTCACGTCTGACAGAAAGCTGCCTCCTGGAGGCTGTCACCATGGAAACAAGCACGTCAAGGAGAAAGATGGGAGTTTTTGGGGGGCAGAGAATGCATATTTTACGAAGGAAGTTAATATTTTTATTTCAAGAAAAAAAAATTGGCATTTTCAAGAAAAAGGTCAATTAACTGTTTAAGCAGTCGTATTTAAAAAGGGGGTTAAAAGTACAACTGGGTGGGTGGGGGGGTTAGAACTTGTCACATTTATTCAGGAGCGGAAAAGCTTACAAGGAAGTCATACTTTGCTTCGTTAAATTCTTTCCAGAAAATGTCAGTCAATGTAAAAGAAAAAACTTAGAAAAGAAAAATGTACTCTGATGAGGTACATTTGTTTCAAAAGAAAAGCTTTTGGAGAAAAAGGGAAAGAAAGGGGAGCGAAAGTCATCTCAAGCGATTTATGATATAGTTCTCTCTGTCTTCCCAAGAGGCAGGCATCACCAGAAAAAATGTCCAAACATCCATGCCATGTTTTTTTTTTGCTTTATTGGTTTCATTTTTGAAGCATTTTTAATACAGTTTTGTGCCTTCTTACTGGTCTCAAGTGAGCTGTGCAGCAAAGCATTGTGGGACATCTGACTGTAGTATGTGTCGTTTTCACCTTTTGCAAATTAATTGAAGTCATTGTGAATTTACATTTGGATATTTGTCTACTTATAAAAAAATGTCTTCCTCTTTTCACACTAACACGAAGTTTGGGATAGAACATGCATCTTTTGTATTCTACTAGCATCAAGAGGCAACATTTTTTTCCCTTTACATTGGCACAGTTGTGGCGCACACGTGTGCGTGTTTTCGAAGTGCTCAATTTAAGAACTTTGACAAAGGCACTTCTATATTTTATCATCCCCTTCTTGTTCAAGTTACATCCTTTTTTCTGTGGGGTTTGTGGTAAAAAAAACGAAATTGCCACAAAACATTTTCTGAAATATTTGCTCTGTGTCATCATTTTTGGCACCAATGCTGGGAATCCATATGCCGGTCATGTGAATGTCAGTTCTAGTATAGTTACTATTAAAAGCTACTACACCTATAATTATTATTATTATTATTATTATAAGGCATTTGGAATAAGGCAGCACAAGTTGCATGATGAGCTATGATAAAGTCTTGCATATATTTCTGTGACAAAAATTCCAGCATCGAGAGAGGACATCGACCAAAGTGCAAAGTAATCAACTTCTTGCCAATAAAATTGGCAAAGACTGACAAGACACACACAGGACTGAACTGGTCCCCGTGGTTACGTAGTAAACATTTGGACCCGCACTTCGACTAATGGCCACGAGAAGAAGCTACAATCAAAAGACTAGTCAAGTCTATAGGTTGCCCTACAGCCCCATGTTGCCATGGAAACAAGCGATAATGCAATAGGTGTGTTTGTACGTGCGTTCACCCAAGCTGCATAGTTTTCGAAGAAAAAAAAAGGGGGGGGGGGGGGGTGAAAAAAAAAAACTTCCTCCAGGCCTTGTAATTGGCTGCCAGTAGAGTGCAGGGATGCGATTGGTCCTTTGCGAGTAAAATACAAAATAAGGCGTGGTCCAAGAGTAGCTATCGGTACAAAAGGAGTACGAGGGCCACGCTGATTAAAATGAAAATGAATTACATGGTGAAAATAAAGTAGCAATCTTCTGAGAATATTTGAGTTGAAAAAAGTTGTTGTTTATTACTCTGAAATGTTTCATTTCAGAGTAATAAAGTCAAAATATTTCCCATGAAAATGTTATTTAGGGACCCCAATTGCACGAGAATGATGTAATCTTACAATAATTAAGTCAGTCTTTTAGAAGAAATAAGCTACATATTTTCAAGAAAAGTGGTTACTTGTATGTTGAATTATTTAGAAAAAAATTAAAACTATCCTATGAGAATCAAGCCCTGTCTTTTCAGTAAACAAAACATCTTATGACAATGAAAGTGATACAATGGAAATACTGTGCTTTTGACACTTTTTTTTTTACCCAATGCTTGGCAATTTTTTTTTTCATAGCTGTTATTAGGAAGCGCCTATTATTTGCGGATTTCAGTGGAGTCCTTTTTATCTGCAAGCAATTATTTCTCTCTATAAAAAATACTCTAGTCAAAGGGGCAAGGGGGGGCGCCAGTTAAGCGCAGCTGATTGGTCCGTTGCGTATGGATGGTGGGTGCGTTGGGAGTGCGTTAAGAAGGCGGGAATGCGGCACGTGTGGCGTTCACGCTTTGGCGGGCGCTTTGGCGGGCACCTTGAGGGGCTGCAGGCCTCTCATTTTGAAGTAGGACACCACCTGTGTGGGCACCTCAGCCAACACTGACTGTGCCAAAGTCGCCTGGGGGGCCTGGCGAGACAAAGCAGAGCGCACGCAGGCGCTTAATTACACGACTGCACTTCACTGGTCAAAAAAAAAAAAAGGAGAATGCATTTGCAACCAATGATGTCTCCGTCTCTCTTTGTTCCATCCGTCGAAATCAGTTGACTTTAGTGACAAAGCTCTGGCTAATAGGAAAGTAGTGAATGGAGGCAAAGGAAGTGAAAATTAAAAGTGAAAACTTAACATAGGGATAAAAGTCGGAAAAAAAATGGCATTGGAAGAAAGGGTCTACGTTTTTAGTGAAGAAGTAAAAAAAAGAAGAAAAATAGAATAGAAAACTTAGGTGAGTTGGACACTCACATCTTTGAACTTGAGGAAGGGGACAAACTGGACGATGTCCCTGGCAACGGCCTCTCCCACCGTGGACCTCAGCACGCCGTCGTCTCCGTCCAGCAGCTCCATGGCCTTAAAGTCAGCCGGCCCCACGCCCACGATGATGATGGACATGGGCAGGCGAGAGGCGCGCACGATGGCGTCCCGGGTCTGGTCCAGGTCGGTGATCTCGCCGTCGGTGAGGATGAGGAGGACAAAGTATTGCTGCGGACACGACACGGCATCAGTCCAACGGACTCGGCGGATGCGTGGGCCACGCATGTTTTGGTCCTCACAGAGGCGCTGTTGCTCTGGGCGGCGCCGGAGGCGATGGAGGCCACGTGGTTGATGATGGGGGAGAAGTTAGTCGGGCCAGAGAGTCGAAGCTGAGGGAGAACCATCCTGTAGGCTTCCACGATGCCCTGAATGCCTGCCGCAGGAGAACACATGCAAGTGATCATATTTCAGAAAAGGTCAGATATCGAAGAAGTGGGGAGGATCTATCTGATGAGGATTTGGACTTATTTCCTTCCGCCTTTGCTGAAACTTTGGGCAAATCCGAAGTGGGAGCATTTCTACTAAACGAACGGAGAAAAAAAAAACCATACCTTGGCAGTAGGGGTTGGTGGGGTTAAAGTTGAGGGCAAACTCGTGATGTGGGGCCTGCGGGATCCACAACACAATCACGTCAATATGTCCCACCTTTGTTTGTTGTGCAAACCAAAGAGCAAGCATATACGTCTTTCAAGTTGGATGAATGTTGAAGATTTTGGTTGATTTTTTTCCTGTTTTCCACATTCTCAATGACAAAATTCTAAATTCCGGCTCCCATGCGAGCGAGGAAATCGAATGAGCCTCATGCGAAGGTGGCTTGCTTGTTGGCCGATTTTCACACTTTCAATTTCCAACTGTTCGGCTGAGTCCGAACATCAGAGGAACTATTTTTCACATTTCCCCAAATACCTGCAGTTTTGTCAGATCCACATTTTGCAATCCAAAATGTCCACATTCGTGAGGACATTTCACACATGCACCCGTATCTACACATTCTATTTTTTTTCGTTCTCACGTCCAATATTTCTTCACAGATTTACCATTACTTGAGTAATTACGAATCTCTCGAATTATTTATTCTATTAAGTTGACCAAAAGAAAATTTCTTTTAATGTTCAAACTTTTATCGGAAAGCAAGCACAAACAAACACCGATTAGGATTCAGGTATGGGTTTGGTTCGTAACGTGTCAGAAAAAAAGGCAATCATCTTGATTATTGTTCTCCAAACTACAAGCAGATGTTTGCAAATGTCGCATTTTGGAAAAAAAACAAAAAGAATCTGCTTTCATGGAGTACTACAGAAATCAGAATAATTGCTGTTGAAAGACTGAAATCAGAGGATTTGGATCATTTCAAGTTGACTAAACAATTACTAGACGATCAAAATAGTTGATCCATTTGATAATGGACCTGATGTCGATTCACTGTCACACGTGTCATTTCTTCCGATTTAGTTAAGGAAGTGCACTTTCGACTTCGTACGCACCTGGTAGTCAGGAGGAAGTTTGGCTCCAAAACCAAACGCGGGGAAGAGTTTATCACTGAAAACAAGAAAAGAAAAAAAAAAAAACAATCGCAATTAGCCAAAACACAGACACTCAATCTGATCCAAACACAAAGTGTCTGCCGGATGAATTCAAGTGTGACGTCTTACATCGAGATTCATATTAAGTTGTTTTGCTTAATGGGTCCGTCCCACTTGCAGTTGCGTAAATCGAGTGCGTGAGAAAAAAATTGTACTGACGTGTCATAGTCTTGGATGACCTGGCCCACGGACCAGAGTGCAGACAGGTACTGGTTTAACCCGTCTGGACTCAAGTAGTGGAGAGAATTGGGAGAGCGAGGGTCCCCGTTGGAGCCCGTGAAGTCGATGCCCACCTATGCACACACACACACACACAAAACTCTCGTGAGTGAAACTCTCGTGAGTGTGTGTGTGTGTGTGTGTGTGTGTGTGTATGTGTGTGTGTGTGTGTGTGTGTTAGAAGGGCTCTCACAGTGAAGTTAATCTGGCAGCCGCCCATCACATAGTCCAGGAAGCTGTGCTGCGTGGCTAACTGTAACATCACAAACACAAAGTCACGTCACGCAACAGCCAATCAAGGGAGACGCCAGCCGAAGTGTGCCTCGTTACATCATAACAGGAGTAGGCTTCATATGGAATCGTAACGCAAGTGAATCGGATCGTAGTCAAAGCGAATCCCAGCCAAGTGTAGTCGGGAGTGGATTATATGTCGCGATAGGAAATAATCTTATCTTGCACTGCAGTGCATCAGATCATAATTGGAGTGAATGGTTTTGTTATCAGTGTGACTCATATCATAAATGAATTAATTGCATCTTGTTGTTGTCAGCGAGCCTGGAATAAGTGGAGTGAATCTGATCCTAACTGTGGTGAATTGTATCGCATCAAAGTTGGAGTGAATCAGTCAGTGGTACCTTGCAGCTTTTCACAGAGACCACCCCGGAATTTTTGTAGCTCTTCTTCTTCTTCTGCTTGTCCGGATGGATGCAATCAAATGCCACCTGAAGGACAGAGCGCGAACAAGACACAAATAAGACGACGAAGATGAAGACGAGGGAAATCTCTTGCGGTTCGCCGTCGAACTCTGCCAGCTGACCGGTGAGCCGGAGGCAGCTTTCTGCAGCTCGGACACTTTGGTGGTGAACGAGCCGATGAGGTCGTGGGAGCCGTCGCTGTCGTGGTCGGAACAATCCACCTGAGGGCGACAGAGAGCAGGTCAAGTCTGGTAGAAAGTAGGTGGAAGCTTCTGCCTAAGTGGGGTTCTCATTTGGTGGGTACCTTGAGAGGCCTTTCCAGGTCGCTGCTGCAGAATGTCTGCAGGGGGACCGAAAACTTCTTCCAGCTAGGATTCAGGTTGTTCTTCACCACCTGGACATGCACACACACAAAACATGGACACAGCAATTTGTAAAGTGTTTGGTGGATATATCGTCATCATCATCATCAAATGGAGCATTTCAGCACCTCTGTTCTGTGCACCAGCTGCCATTTTCCATCATCTCCTTTTTTGAAGAACTCCAGGAAGGGGTCCGATTTGCCAAAGGTGTCCTGAACAAACAAACAAATACAGACATGAAGAAAAATATTGATTCGTCATTCTTTTACGTTTCACAAGTCTATTGCTACTGGCGTGAAACTACATTTGACAAAGAGCATGCCAACAGTTTTTGTCACTGTCTGGGCTCGGGCTGCTTTGATACTTCAGGATCTGGACTTTTTGCTGTAATGAATTATACCAATGAATTCTGCTGTCTCGCAGACAATTTGGCCTGCTTTTTATATTTACTTGGGTAGTGAGATGCTCAAATTGGTTGGATTTTTAGAAACATACGTGTGATAAATTTGCACTTAAAAATCAAAGCTTACAAATCAGCAAAGGGGCAAATACTTTTTTTTTCCAGTTACCTTCTTGTCCAGATTCTTAGCTTCCAGCTCCAACTGGATGGCTCTGTTGTCCTTTATCTCCTCTGCAGTAATCTAAGCATTAACATGAAGCACTGTTAAATTAAATGATAGTATTATTATAGCACAGAATAAACAGACTACATACCGTAATGCTTCCTTTGCCAGCAGGTTTTCCTTTCTTCAGCTGCAGTGGTCTGGTCAGAGTTTTACTGGAAACAATCTGCAACACACACACACACACAACACACACACGCGCACACATGAATCTCATTTTGAGCATAGTGGAAGAGTTGACAGACTGAGGGTCAGGGTCCAAACATTTGATACAAGTTTAATGTGCATTTACCTGTCCCAAGGTGAGTTCCACACCTCCCAGGTAGTCATCGTCGCCCAAGTCACGGGATGCGTTGTCAATGTCATAAACGCCCAGTTTGAGGTTCTGAACCGTCTCAAAGTGGTAGTTCAGACGGAGGCGCTGACTGAAGGACGGGCTGGAGGTGTTCTCAATACGCTCGGTGCGGCCCAGCTAACAGGAAGGAAACACACGCAAGAGTCTATTAATCATAGAAAGACAGAGGCGGCTAGGAATGCACATATATGGGAAATGGGCTGTCACTTATAAAGTGCTTCTCTACCTCAAAGCGCTTTACACTGTTACCTAATTCTGTGGTTTTTTTTCATTACATAAATACTTCCTGAATTGTAGATTAATACTTAGGTCATAAAGTTCATGAAGGAATACATTTGGGAAAGAAAAAAATAATGTTTTATAATTTGATTCTTCTTTGTAAAGATAACAGCTTTACACATCTTGCTATTTTCTTAGTCAGCTTCATGATGTGCATGACAGCGATATGACCTGGAATGACTTCCAGTCACAGCTGTGCATTATGAAGCGTTAAGAGCTGGAATTCTTGACCTCTTTGGAAGATGTTTTGTATGACCAAAGACAAATGATTCCTTTTATTATTACCTCAGTCCAGCTATCTTTTCCAGAGCGCTGCAGCAGCACACATAGCGGATCCGACTTTGATCCCACGTCTTTGTCCAGCAGGTCCGAACAAGAGATGGTCAGCTCCACCTTAGATACACAGTCCGCCATCTGTGTGGGGAAAGAGAACAACAAAAGTTTAAGAAACCTACCTTGGTGCGGATTGTGGTATCTCTGTATTTGGTTTTCAGTGACCAAACAAGCCACATTTAAAGTATTTGTCAGACGATATGCTGTGATCACGTAACAAACCTGTAATGGGGATTTTTTTTTTCAAACCAAGGTTGACATTTTTTAAGATCAGCGAAGATGAGACGTAGTAGAAGCGTTGAATTTTACGTGTGTGTGTGGGGGGGGGGGTGCAAGAATAAAGGGTACGGCTCACCACATAAAAAGTATGCTATTAGAGAATAACATTGTCATCTTAAAAATATTTTAAGATGAAAAAAAAGACGAAAAGGCGAAAATTATGCAATGTAAATGCAACGTATATTTTACAGTACACGCCCATTACATTTCGCAAGGGACACACCACAGGAATTAAATACAACGTGCTACAATAGCGGCGGAGAGGTGAACTTTTACACGCACTTTAGTTTAACATGTTACAATAAGTCAGCCATTAAATAGGAAAATGTTAAGAATTTGTTTATATTGAGTTCATTTGCGTGGTCGTAGAACACCAACCGGGAGCCCGAAAAATAAAACCTCTGCGACAAAATGCCTGTTCGCGCAGCAAACACACAGTTACCTGGTTTGACTTCAACATCAGTCTGGATGTTTTTCACTCGATATATTCACGATGTCGTCCAAAAGTGACGAAAGTGCTGTCTGTTACCACGATGTGACTCACACAGGAAGCTCAACCAGCTAGCAAGTTCTCGCTTTAATTGGACAACAAAGCAAAAGAAGCGTCCTCTTGATTGGACAGAAAGTACTGTCAGCAACCAGCACCCGCCCACCTTGAACACGACTTCCGGGGAGACATCGAATAAAAGCAATTCCACAGCTCAACCGAACCATTAAGCAGGATACGGCTTTTCGAGCAGAAAAGGGATGCCACATCTATTACATGAACAAAATTGACGAATGGAATTATGTAAATTACTCACATCAAATCATCTGTCTCACGTCGTCAACGTAATCTGTTCTTTTAACATCCTTTGCACTCAATTTGAAGCGTTCCCTCACATGAAATCAACGACACTGCATGTTTACTTGGTGCAAAAATGTAAAGAAAAAAAAACCCAAAACCAGGCAAGGAAAAAAAAAGACGTCTGACATGCTCAATGCCATTATATTAGAGGGAATACATTTGAGCCGGATGCAGAACCACTTTCGCACATCGCAGCTTGCTTTAAGACATCACGGAAGAGAGAAGCCCAAAGAAAGACAAACAGAAATACTATATCTGAGAAATATATACGCTGATTCGTTTTCTCAGTTAATGAAACAAAGGCTCCGTGGCACCTAGCAAAAGGGAAGGATCCAAGGCAAACATCCACTTCCTCCTTAGCACCACTTTTTATTCGTCCTTTTTTATTGTCTTAACTAAAAGGGAAGGATCCAGGGCAAACATCCACTTCCTCCTAAGCACCACTTTTTATTCGTCCTTTTTTGTCTTAACTGCACATACATTTCAGATTACTTGCACGTCGCCAATATAACGCATGCTTTCAATTCAGATCAAAACACCACCAAAAGCACTTTAGATGATTATAGTTTAGACCACGTGTGTTTGTTGTATGCATACCTTATAATGATTTAATGTCAACATGTCCATAATCAGACATTGTATGCATCAAGACCAATGTGAACATTGCACATAAAAAGGGGGTGGGGGGGCCAGGGGGACAGCAGCAAGACCTCAAAGCTAATGAAGCAATCCTACCACCACTCAGTCTCGTGGCTATTTTTCTCAAATGTTTAATAACATGTTAAGCTTGACTCTATCAAGCCTTTTGACAAATCGCTCAGGCAGACATAGATTTGTTTGAATTGCATCTTTCCAAGGATATACAGAAATAAAGGGGCCACACCAAGGGTCAACCATAGTGATAGAATTGTGGTACAATGTCACAATATTGCTAGAATAAAGTTGGAACAATATGAGTGACATTTTTTACAGACGAGAGGTGTAATATTACAATCATTAAATGTGTTAAATTTTACAGTGAAGTCAGAATATCACAAGGCTCCTGACGTTTTCTTTTGTTTGAACTCAGCGCAGTAGACCCGAACCTCGCATCTAAGACTCGCACAGCTGCAAGTCCTTGGAATGTAAATACTCCCTCTACTCTATTTTACGATATTACTTGATAAATGGGCATAAGAGTGGAAGAGAAGTTTGTTCGCAACAAAAATGTCAAGAATTTTAATAAATTAAAAAAAAAAAACAGGAAAAAAATGTTCAAAATTATTGGTTGTACAGACGCGGGTTGATGAAAAATCTTACGTGTAGTGTCTCAAATTTTCAGGGCAATCTGGAGGAAAATAATAGTGACGAGAACAAACTTGCATATTACAAATTATTTTGTCGGAAAATCTATAAAACCAAGTCCTAATGAAAACTGACTCATACCTTTTTTTTAACGATAATGTTTGCATATTACAACGCCGATTTTCAACAAGTAGTATGAGTACCATCAACAGTATGTGAAAGAATCACTAAGTTCAGTTCTATTTTAACTTTTTAGTGCAATAAATTTGCACTAAAAATTCAAATAAGCCTATATTCATGCGCAGTGTTAACACTGAAACGGTGCATCATGTTTCGATGGGTTACAATGATACTAAATGTACCTTTTAGGAATAAAACCTTTGCCTTGTTTTTGATGATCACTTTGGCTTACCTACTGTATGTTCATGTTGGTCATGAGGGTTGGGTGATACTGGGGTTTGTTTGCTTTTTTAAAAGCTGGTACTTAGTGTCAAAAAATTTGACAACCACTGTAGTACAAGATTTAAGTCTGAATTTAATTTGAGAACTACATGACAATGGTCATTTTAGCTAAACTTTTACAAAAAAAGTATTTGCAAAATGTCAAAAGAAGTGCACGAGAATAAAGTCATACTGTACAAAAATACATTGAATATTTTTTTGAAGCAACAAAGTATATTTTCACTTCAATAAATTTGTAGTAATTGGTGGGGTGGTCGATACTAAGGTCTAAGTTTTACAGGATAAAAATATAATATACTAAAGCCTATTTTACAAGAAATGGTCATATTCGGAGAAAACAAATTGAGGCAAAAAGATTGAAATTGTTGGCAATTTATTTTGGTCTTAAAACGATGTCTATTTTTGTTCCTTGAAGACATTTTTTCCCCCTTGTTACTTAAAGTGCGGCCCCGAGAACTCCTTTCAGTTGTTGACAGCTTTGACAAGTAACTCCAAAAAGACATATTGAACAGTTGGGACAACGTGGCATCAAGGAAGCAGCAAAAGTCCGTGAATCATGCAAAGACAATAAGAAGGAGACGAGAGAGCGGCCGGGGCCGGCCGGCGGGCAAGGACAGCATCCTGTACATCCTTTTTATTAGCCAAAGCATACAAGGATGTTCAGACCAAGTTATGAGGCATCATACAGACACTTGAAACCATCCCAAATCGAAATACGTACAACAAAAATGCTACCAAACTAAAAATGCTGCAGACTATAAGACTGCAAACCTATTGTGTATCATCGTGTATGCTTGGGTATCCAAACACAGCAACATAACCATTAAAAAAACAAACAAAAAAAAAAAAAACAGAAATAACTCATCGACCAATCAGACAGGTCTGACATAAATTGTCCATAACTCTTCACAGCAACATGAAGACCTCTGTACGTTCAGCAACATGTCCGTACACCCAAAAATGCATGTGACAGTTAGACTTGCAAATATTTCAAGGAATTTGGAAACCTTTCCATGGAAATTAAAGGGAGGACAGCTGGGATCGGCTCCAGCATGCCTGCAACCCTCATGGGGAATAAGTGGCTCAAATAATGGATGGAACCTCAAAGTTCAAAATTGAAAGCTGGCTCTTCAAAGGACCTGACCGATTTATTTTCTTTCTTTATGAGACTGGTGTCAATATTTGGCAGAATGAAATTCCAATAACCAATCAATAGGTCAAAACACACGTTATTTTTTGGTCCCTTGACGCTTACAAGAATAAAGAAATGAATTACAGGCAGAACGTTTGACTGTCTTACAATACTTTGCCATTTGGTTGTACTTTTAACTTGAATCTGCTTAACTTTACAATAGACATAAATATCGACCAAAATCAGCCATTTTTTGAGTTAGTGGGTTTGTGTTTGAACATCATTATCATTGCCTATGTTGTGATGGATTACAAAAAAAACAAAAAGGCAGGTTTTTGACCATTTTAAAACAGCCAATACCGTCCTGATTAATCGGTCAGGCCCTAAACCTAAATATAGTTTATATGCTAGCATAATCCTGACTCTAACAACCAGATTTCATACAAGTACAGTGGTGCCTTGATTTACAAGTAACCCAACTCAAATGTTTTCCGGTTACAAGCTGTTGTATTGCAATACGAGTTCAATTTATTCTGTGACCACTCCAGGAACTCGCATCTCATTCAATCTCTCTCCATTACAACAAATGAGAATGGCATTAATCCTCTCCAGCCTCTCGCCCGCCAAAACAAACATGTTGGTGATGGGTTTTAAAATAAGAAAAAGAGCAGTCTACATTGCACTGAAACCGTTTTTATTTCAATTCAATGGGTATTGTTCTGTCCCTTCAGGTGGGTGTGCCTTGGCAACCAGACATACAGGAATTTAGTTGGCTACATTGATGCAGTCTCATCTTCTCAGTAAGATGCAGTAATATTAGCTGTTCTTCGCAGAGGATAAAGATGATATGCCTGTGAATACGGTTTTGTCATATCATTTGCCAACACGGTATAACTTTAAGGCGGGGTTGTTTTAAACTGTGTCATTTTGTTTAGTTGTACAGTAAATTTCAACGGGCAGTGCCAGTAAACAATTTAAAGACACTTTTTTTTTTTTTAAGAATTGCTCACTATTTGCCAAATTGTTGCTTGCTGTGACGTGAGTTAAGTTCGTCGCCACCACACAGCACTTGTCTGTCAAATTTTTGCACAAAGTGGAAGCAAAAAAACGGGTCCGCATGACAGCTCGTATCTCCAAAAACACTTAAGATGGGTCAGGGGTATCTCAAGGCACCGTGTTACATATTTTCTTGAATACGATGCGCTGCCATGATATTACCTACAATTCCGGTGAATTCTTATAATTCTAAAGGACAGGTACCAAACAAAAATTCTCCAGATTACCTTCCCATGGACATTTACTGGAAACTTGGCGAACATTTTCACCCCTTTGCAGCTGCAGTGACAACTTATAGTTGCTTTCCATCATCATCATCAATGCGACACAGAAGCAGAGAAATAAAAAGAGCAGACATTTCATGTGGAAAAAGCACAACAGCAGAGTTCATTGAGTTTGACAGCAAGAGAACAAACGGAAACGCACGTGTTTTAACCGCAACAATAACAACAGGTAAACGGTATTAGCGTAGCAACACAGCAATGTGGCGGCACTAGCATAGCGACCGCAAATGTGAAAGAACCTCAGCTGGGGCACATGACGTACACGCATCGAGGCAGCAACATGAGTGTTACCATAGCGACAGAACACAATTCTGCATTTTTTTCCCCAGGCAATTTGTCATCATCATGGTCATCAAGTTAGTGACTTCGAAATGGCCTTAAAAATGCAACATACAAGTCTTCAAGTGGTTGCGCAATGCTTTCACAAAGGTCAAGAGCTTGTTCGGAATTAGTGGCAAAAATAAGTCCCAGTTCTTTGGAGTTTTTTGTTATTTTTAACCGTAAACGCACTAGGAGCTAAAATACTGAGGCCAACCTTGCAGCATCTTCCACTGGCAGACGATTGAGGCTATTTTCCGAACTCTCTATTCTGTTGCTTGCTTCGAGTACATGTTGGACCTTTTGCCATGAAAATCTGCTCAGGGCCTTCACCGCTGGTATTGCTGGCGCAATGGAACTTCAACAACACTAGCAATGGGATTGATTCTTCAACATTTTGTGTTCATTTTTTATATTCCATCCAGAGTGCTGGCCCCTCAGTGACGTCAAAACTTTTGGTTGATCAGAGCAAAACTTGTTACAGCCAACGTTTTGACAAGTAAAACAAGCCCGGAGCTATCGCCACATTTTCCTCTCATAATCAGCATCTTCGGTTAGACTGATGTTTTTTTTTTTTATTCATTTGGTTATTTGGTTTTGTCTTGCTAGATATAAACATGGATTCAGAACTGCTCCAGGTGACGTGAGATGTGTGCTGTTAGGGTGAGTTTTTGTGAACACATCACAATTACAGAGACCATCAATACCAAGTAGCGAATGCACGAAACTCCACTATCAACCAGTCAACACGAAGCCAGCAACCTCTCACCACCAGTACCCAACCGGCACCGGTTCAGCGTAAAAGGGGTACATTTAGAGTCAGTCTGTGCAGTTAGGGTCTTGAGACGAGGAGGTTCCTTAACCAAGACTAATTTTGACTTTCCGTGCTCCGATGGGCCTGTCGTTTAGATCCATGACGGCGGCGGCGGCCTCTTCCGGGTTCTGGAAGGCAACCATGGCCTCGCCGGTGGGTAGGCCTTTGTCACTGAACTGCAAGCAGACGGATCCGGGGAGCACGTCGTAGCCATAGAAGAAGTCCATGAGCTCGTCGGCGGTGACAGTGAAGGGCATGTTCTGCAGCTTGACTATTGTTGGGGCAGCAGCGGAGGCGGCAGAGCGCTGACTGTTAGAGTTGTTGGGTGCCCCGGGGGCAGTGGAGAGACCCTCTGCGCCCGGGTTGAAACCTGGAGGTCCACCGGGAGGCGCTCCCCCTTGACGTGCTTGGTTGTTGTTGTTGTTAGCCCCAAGTCCACCTCTGTTCTGTACTGCTCCACTTGGTTTCCTGCTGCTGTTGTCAAAGGGCACCAAGCCCCTCAGACCATCCTGACCAAACGCAGGCCCCCCTGGCGCACCCGGTCGAAAACCCGGCGGCTCAAGGAGTGGAGCTCCGGGAAGACCTGCGATAAGTGGAGGAGCGACCGCAAGATTGACTTCACCAAGTCCTACTGCCAACGGGGGCAGGGGAGGTGGTCCCGCTACACCATTTCCAGGAGTGGAGAACGGGGTGACAAATGGAGAACTGTTGATGTTTCCCATTGTGGTTCTTAGGAAGTTAAACTCCTCACCGCCAATCCCTGCGAAGGGATTGATCTGGGGCTGCTGCGGAACCGCCTGGGTCGGCAGGTGCTGGCCTTGGCCATGCTTCTGGCTCTGCTGGGTCTGGATTTGACTTCTTTGGCCTCTCTTGTTTTGGGGCGGAGGGTTCCTCTCAATTTCCTTCATCTGCTCAAAGGTCACAAGATGAACGAATGCATCACGGCCATTGAGCTTCTGGCGGTGAAGTCTTTCCGTTTTACGGGCGTCTTCCTCGGTCTGAAGCTGGAAGACCGCCTGCCCTAAACCGTTGCCGTGGCTATCAGTCAGAACCTTTAGCGTGTCTTCATAAAGCCCAATGCCCTCCAGGAAGGCACGCACGTCCTTCTTGGAGATATTGTAAGGGATGTTGGTGATATGAGCGCAGTTTCTTGGCGTTTTGAGGCCATCCTGGTTCTTGCCATCATTCTGCATTGCTTCGCGCTTACGAATGGAGTCAATCTTTTCCAGCATTCCCTTGTAGCTGATGGGGTGCACTTGGATGAAGCGAGAACCCATGTATTGCATGTGGGAACCCAGTGCAGTCTTGTAATCCTGCTCCGTTTTGAACTCCAGAAAGCCTTCTCCTGTGGCTCGTCCATTGGGGCCGTAGGCGATGTACATAGTGTCCTCCACCACGGACAAGTTCTTGAAGAACTCCTTGATCTGTTTTTTGTCAGCCTCGTAGGGGAGGCCCTTCAGGTAAACACAGAATTCTTGACGATGTGGAGATCTAGACCTCCCTCGCTGTTCCCGACCCATGTCGCTGGCTTGAGTATGACGTTGGTTCTGGTCTTGAATGTTTGGTTTAGCGATATTTTGAGAAGTCAGCCCCATCGCGCTGTGATTGAGGGTGGCCCATTGCCTCTCAGAGCCCGGGGTGACCTCGATGAACCTTTGACCCATCATGCCACCACCCCGCTTCACGGCCTCAAAGCTATCTTGGGGCAAGAAAAATTTGACCATGGCTCGGCCGGTCGGACGACCTTGGCCGTCTCTCAACAAGCGCACTCCGTCCACCCCCAGACCCCGAAAAAAATCCCTGATCTCCATCTCTGAACAGGAGAATGAGAGGTTCTGCAAGAGGACAAACAACTCATCTGGATTAGACACACCAATTGCAGTGGCTGTGGCTGCAGCTGCCTTCATGTGAGCCTGGAGGCCCAGAGACGCAAGAGGAGTGAGGGGATTGAACAGCATAGGGTTTGGGGTACTGAGGGGGAGGCCTGTGGCAAGTCCTCCGGGTGGGGGCATGGTGGGGTTGAAAGGTGGCAAAGAAGGCAGATGTGACAGGTGGGACATTGGGGGTACAGGAGGCCCATGGGAAAGTTGGCTGACAGTAGGGACAGGGGGTAAGGACGACACAGGAGGAGGAACCGTGGGTAACGTGGGCATCGTTGGCATGGGCGCGATCAGCGGAGGGCCTGCGTTTAGAGACGTCAGGGCTGCTGTAATGGCGGGGGCAGCGTTGTAGCCGTGAGGAAAGTTGGGCACCATACTCGCCAGGCTAGCAGCGGCTTTGTGAATGGGAGTCTCCTGTGAAGAGCTTGCAGTCACCACTGCGGGAGTATTACTGAAACTGGGGTTTCCATGGCTACCACTTCTCCCCGCCGCGGCCGACTGTATGGCGGGTATAGCCGCCGCGGAAGTCGGGCGATTCGCCGTCGTAGGCGTGGCGGTCTCAGGTGCAGCCGTGCCACCCTCAAACCTCCGCCTGCTCAACTCAATCATGTTCTGCATTTCTGTCTTGCTGCTGAGCAACAACGACACTTTGGAGCCCTTAATGGACCCACCTGTGCGCATCATTCCCAGCCGAGCGTCCTCGTCGGTGGCAAAGACAATGAAGGCCTCGCCATGCTCGCCACCCACGATGTGCACGCCCCCATCAGGGATGGTGAGGCCAGAGAAGAAGTGCCTGATGTCCATGGTGCCGGCCACTATGGGCAGACCTTGCAGTCTGATGACTACCGCCATACTGACAGCTAATCAACAGGCCTACAACCTGGGGAGAGAGCAACACTGCCGTCAGATGAGGAACAAAGAAACCAGACCCCTGGTTTCCAGATATATGGCAAACATGTAATGATATTTTATTCCAAAACGTGGAACTTTTTGGGGCATCCTAACCAAACATTTGGAAACCAGCGGTTCTTTCGTGAGGAATTGGGGGTGAAGGAGCGAAACATTTGCAGAGGAAGGAAAAAAAAAAAAAAAAAAGCTGAACTCCAAGTCCATCTTTAACACTTGAATTTAGTCTACTACTTGGAGAGTAATGAGCTCAAGCTTCCAAAACAGAATTAACATCAGGCAGGGACAGTTTAAATTTGTATACAGGAATTATGTCATAGAATAAATGTAGCAGGCCACAATTAACAGAGCACAGAATCAGTAAAGACCTACAAGATCTCCAAAACAAGGGCCCCAAACATGTCTCCGCCCAATGTATGTGACATTTTAGTCAATTCAAAAATGTAAAAACCTTGTTTCAACCTATCAGTATAGTCTTGCTCAGAACGCATTTTCCCATGTTTCCAGTGCATCAGGTTCGAAATAACCGCATCAAACTGGTCTACTATCGAGTAACCTTCGCAGTAGTATAGTATGGCTTGTCATGTTGGGAAAAGCTTGATGCAATCCTGTCATTTGATCGGCGAACAGATGGAATGTAAAAATGGATGAGAAAGAAAACAAAAAGGCACCATTTTAAAATCAATGCCGGGGATGTCATGCTTAATCTTACGTGCCACCATTGAACGCAAGGCTGAAAATAAGCGGTCACAGTTTGCAAGTCAAAATTAGCATTTTGCGCCTCATTAAACACGTTGCATAGCAAAACTGAGAATCAACAGATTTTGGGTGGTTTTCCCCCTGCTGTTTGAACCGCAGAGATATTCCCACAAAAGGTGAGCTGTGGTAGATGCAAGAGCGTACGTTAATGTGGCACAATGCGCTTACGTCACCTATGCTCAGGAAGCAGGCGGTCCCACATATGCCACACCAGTTAGCGGACAATGAGGCTGGCTCGATAGTGCGCTTTAAGACGTCCCGGAGTGACACCTGACAGTTATCATCGCCTCCCGTCAGGGAGTAAGATACACTTCTGACAAGTATCGTTCTCACGAAGGGTTGACGAAGAGTAAACAACAGAAGATGGAGAATCCAAACTAATTGCTAAGCTAATTTAAGATTTACAAGTAGTTGTGGCCACCGGATGGCACGGGGGTCGACCGGTTAACACGCCCACCTCACAGTGCAGAGTTCGATCCCGGCTTGGGTCTGCCTCTGCTGGACACCTAAACAAAGCCTTGACAGTTGTACAATAAAAAGAAAAAAAAAACAACACTTCCTTCAAGACTTAGATATGCATGAGAAACATTTTCTTAATCTTAATAGGCATCCACCAGATGAAATAAAAAAGGTCAGTAGCACATAAAGACCATGATACCACAACAGCATAGCACTACCGGGGAAACGCAGACACCAATGAAACACTGTGGAAGGAAAAAAAAAATGTTTTCAACCCAACAGAGCACATCATTAACCGAACATTAGCCTTATATTAGCATGGGCAAATAACCATCCAGCAAAATAGCAGCAGCTCATTGGAAAATCTCAAAGCACACAGCGATGCCATGAAAACACGTTGAACAAAATATTCAGACAAAAATATACACAACGCAGCTCAAGAGCGCCACCAACCTGTATGAACAAGACGTCAAAACTATTTCAAGTCAGCTGACTTCCGAACCAAGGTCAATGTCATTTACAAAGCACACCAACAATACAATAATGCCGACTAATCGCAACGGATAGGAACGTAGCCCTACCGCTAATAGCCCCCCCGTCCCCAAAAAAAAAGGTTATTGAAAAGGTTTTTGTAATGACCTATGTTAAAACAGTGGGACCGTGACTTACCAGGAAATTTGCGTTAAAATATTTATCAATTGATGCCCCTGCCCCTATTTCATATTGATTCAGCAAATCCTCTCAGTCGATTCACTTCCTGGGCAGTGGGAGTCGTTTTACATGTGATTTGCATTGTTTGGATGAAGACCCCGTTCGACCAAACAAGAACAACAAAAGAGGAGGAAAAAAAAGAAAGAGAAAAAGTAAGGTATTTGATCAGCTGTACCAAGCCAATTTTTTTTATTAATCAACATTTCTAAAAGAAAAGAAAAAAGGTAACTTTACATGTGCTTTAGCAAGCTTCACATACCTATCTGTGGTCAAAGTGAAGTCAAGAAAACAAAAATAATTGAGCAATTAGTTTACCTACAATGCTCTGGTAAGTGGGAAAGGCGATCCACAGTGGCCAATGCACTTTCAGCCTTTTTTTTTTGGCTAATGAGGAAAAAATACAAAATGACCCAGACGCTCACATGCAGACTTACCACTGGCCAATCCAACTCCAGCTCCTGATGTCACTCACTGGGCCAAGCCCCTTAAAAAGCACACAAATACTACAATACGTACAGTAATTACACTTCATACACACTGTTGATTTCTTTTTCATATATATATATATATATATATATATATAATAGTGCTATTTTTATTCATTATAGAGCATTAAAAAGGTACTTTTAATTAATTGGAAAAAATATATAATTGTAATTCATTTCTGTGTAGAAATGAGCAAAACAAACTCGTAAATCAGATGACCACCGAATGTTTTTTCCTTTGAATGCGCTCGGACTGCACATGGACATGCATGTGGTGAAGACTCTCCTAACTTCCACAAACAACCCAGGCCAAACTTTGCTCCTCCCTAAGACAAAGCTCACCTTCCAGTCAGAGTCCATCGCTTCAACATAGAGTACTTCCATGATTCCAATTCCTATTTCAACTAGTCTATGCCACCATTTTAGAGTGTTGGGAAAAAAAAGGCACAAACATCGGCAGGTTTCCAGCCTATCAGGGAAGATATCCCAATTTGTCAATAGAAGGGAGATTTCAGTAAAGCTAAAGCACAACTTCACTGCCACATTCCATCAAGCGGCACAGGTCAACTTCCGAAGTGGAAAATAACCATATCACATCTAGCAAGAGCAGTGAGGACACCCTAAGGGTGGGCAAATGGTGCAACTCTACTTGGAACTGGGTAGAACCAGTGGAAAAGGCAATAGCAGATAGAGGCATGATGTCCATACGACTATTTACGACCCAGTACACACTGGCAACCTAAGTCATGAGGTGTCCTTGAGTGCTGAAGTGGCCTGGACCTCTTGACAGAAATATGTCCAAAATGAAGAATTTTCAGCAGCAACAACTCTTTAGGAACCAAAACAAATCCTTTGAGTGGGCACTACACCAAAGTACAACAAGCACTTCCAAAAAAACTGGAAAAAAAACAAGGGGAAACAACCAGTGTAGTGAAGAGAAAAGCTTCCGTTGTAAATTGCACAGCAATCAGCAGATGAAACACAGACAAGATCCTTTTAAATGGCCAGAAAAAGCAAAAAGCACATTTATAAGACATAGCAGATCGTCGGGAGCACAGCCAGCAACCAGAGTGATGAGCTCAGTCTTGCAACGCAGCACAAAAATGCCTCAAAAATGTCACTATTTGCGTGTAAACAGACACAAATGTGGAGAGATTTACTTGATCCAACTCATTCCATAAATATTACATCCAATAAAGCAGCAACCCAACATGGAAAGTTTTTCGAGCATTTACTCAAAATAAAGTTTGAAGAAATGAGGCTCAAATCATCGCCAGACTGCTCTTGATGGCGGATGTGACGTCAGCAGACCATTGCTATGCCAGAACCTAAAAAAACTGCTTCACACAAACTCCTTCCATCACTTAAGTTTCTACAAAACGCTACACTAACGTCCGCTGATTCACGCGTTAACAAGAACACATAAACAACGACGTGTTAGGCATTGACTTGACCTCGGTTACAAGTAACATACAATCTGGAATGAGCAATGATTCACGTTGTTTTGTTTTGTTTTAACTAAGCATCATTTTAGACCGCAAGACACCATTGTGATACTATTACAAACCATATTATGTGCTAGTTCCGATAGAAGCGCATCAACGTAAACGAGCATGCTACGCCCCATTAGCCACTTAGCTAACAAACAACCCTGCTTTGTATGTATGCGTGTGTGTGTGTGTGTGTGTGTGTGGTAGCGGGCCAGAGTCGCCATTTTTCGGCGGCTGGTGTTATAAATCTTTTTACATTTTAAGCAGGTCGTCTCTCCTGGAAATTCTTACCGAGGAATCTGTCAACTAACACACTCGGGTGTTTGATTCATGCACGGACGTCTTGGATGCTCACTTCCGTCTCTGCAAAAAAATTCGATTTGAAAACGCAAGCAGGCAGAGACCGCGGTGGATGCACACGAAATGTCGGTAGAAACAACGCGATATTTTGCACTTACCGCGAGAACGTGACACCTTCACAATGTCCCCCTCTATCGGCGAATCTGGGTAACTTTGGACGCAACGGCATACAACGCAGGAGTAATGATATTTTAAACAAACTGAATAGAATGTCACAGCGTGTGGTTGGACGGAAAATTCGTGCTTTGCGAACCTATTTTTCTAATAATTAATTGTACACGGTTTTCCTCCGGCACAATGATATAGTCGTGATTCCATGGGAGTCACGGAAAGCTTCTCAGTTTGTCCCAGTGTTTTACCGTAGAAGCTTCCGGTGCAGGTCTCGTTGCCGGATGTGTTTTGGGTAACTGCGGCAGATTCTACACGTGAGAGTTTGAAAGACGCATGACATTTCGCATTTTAAATTAACAAATGAAACGCAGAATGAGACCAACTGCTGTCTAGCAAGTTAAAGGTAGGTCAATGTTACGAAACTACACGTTCGACCATCGCATTTCACCGGAAAAGTGACTTTTGCCTCTTCGCACGATACGTTAGCGTGAAGTCAACCTAGTATTAATAAAATTAACTGTACTTCTTACGAGTTATATTAATACACTTTCGTAGCTGGCACTGACAGTTAATAATTTCCGCCAAGTATGGTACAAATCATGTTTTAACTTATAACAATGCTTCAAATTTGACTTTTATGTGTGTATACAAATAGGTGTGTCTACCCATCAAGGGTCAGATCAAATTTGCAATTCAGATGTGGTAACTCTGTTTCAAATTTACGAATTCCAGTCCCGAATGTTAACCAAGCTTTATGATCTGTTCACTGACAATCACAAATGAAAGGTTTATTTTGCATTAATGTTTGAGGATGCTGAGCGATTCAGAGGCCACCGAGCTGCTCTCCTTTCTGACACCTGCGACGCGACCTGACGTCAAAGGTCACACCACCAGCTACATCCTGGGCTTGTCAGGAAACAGGTGAGCAGCAACACGGTATATGATAATCAAGCTTTTCCTGCATATAAAATAATGAGCATGAACCACAATTGATCACACAATGCTGTTTTTTTTTTTTTTTTTGCAGAGATGGCTGCCGCTTCCTCCGCACCAAACCTGACTTCATAGCCGCTCTTTTTGCACTGACGTCCGACCCCTCCATCGCCATCGCAAAGGACTGCTACCACATCCTAATCAACCTGTCGGCCGACGAGACTCTGCACCAGGTAACTGGTGGCAATCCACACTGCTGCGTGTTGTGTTCTATTTTTTTTCTCCTCTAGCTGGCACTGTTGGTTTAAATTAAGGTGTTTCAGAAATGGCAAGTCTGTGTACTTTCAGCCCAAATTTGAACAAAGAGTGTCAGCTAAAGGAGTCAAAAAATACAACATTTCGTTCCTGAAGCACGTTTGAAGCTTCATTTTCTATTACGAATGTATGTTCACGGCCAGGTGTTGGTGACAGACGTTGGTATGGTGCCCTCACTGCTCAAGAACCTCAAGGATCCGCAGTACCCGTTTTCCGACCAGATCTGCACCATCCTTTCCAACCTGACGCGCCACGAGAAGACATGCAAGACACTCTTCAAGGTACGCTGGGACTCCACTGGTCAATTTACAACTAACACCTTCAGCTTGGATGACACGAGATCTGTTACATTTGCCATGATCCGAACTGTCATTCTCAAAATAAAACCTGTTCCCCACATTCAGACTAAAGCAGACTAACTCTGGACTAGTCCACATTTAAAATGATCAACTAGACGTTAGACAAGACCTTTTGTTGGACTTGAGACTAGATCAGACTTAAGACTAGACTAGACCAGAACTTTAATGTCTGACCAGACTTTACATTTCATACCCGAGTTTGGACTAAGCCATACCGGACGAGACTTTGGACTAAATCATACTTTAACATTTGGACCAGATCAGACCTTTGACCAGAACTTCAGACAAGGCCAGACTTAACATTTCAGGCCACACCTGACTTGATATTTGACTTTAAAATAGACCAAACCAGAAAACAGACTTTAGGCTTGATTAAACCGGACCAGACCTTAGACCAGACCACACTCTAAAATTCTGACCAGATCAGATTGACAAGACTTTAGGTTAAGCCACACTTTAAACTTGCAACCAGATGTGAGACCAGACCAGACAAGATTAGACTTTGAAGTCGATCAATGTTTACACAACCTAGACCAGACTGTAAATTAAACTATATTGGACCAGATTTATTTATTATTTTTTTAAATGTTACATGGGAAACAATCCAGAACGTTGGGTCAAATTGAACCAAGTAGTAGATTGGTCCATTTCCGACCCAAATTGTCTTATTTTTGACTGTTTTTGTCGAACGTTAGAACAGGAATGATACCGAACGTGTTTGTTTTTCAGGTGCTCCAGGAGGAGGTTGGCCTGGCTCAGCTGGTGGACATGTTGTGTACGGAGGCTTTCAACCCTCACGCCAAGCTGCATTACCTTGCTCCTCTGCTGTCCAATCTCACGCAGCTGCCAGAAGCTAGACGCTTCCTGATGGACAAAGACAGGTCTGTTGTGTTGGCAAAACACACACGCACGCACACGCGCACACACACACACACACACACTCCAGATTCAATGCATGGGTGGCAGAAGCACTTATGTACTTACTTAGGCATGAGTACAGATATTTGTATTTAAAAAAATACTGATTCAACTTTTATGTTTAGGATCTAAAATGCACTATGGTACTCATTGTAATAATTATTAATAATAATGATAATCATTGTCATTTCCAACCCTTTCAGTAGGGAAAATTTATGTGTGTGTGTGTTCCAGGGGTGTGGTCCAACGTTTGTTGCCCTTCACACAGTTTCAGGCGTCAGCGGTGCGGCGTGGAGGAGTCATTGGCGTTCTGCGCAACTGCTGCTTTGACTATGGTGAGAAGCCACGGCTCCAGCATGGCAACCTTTCATAAAACTTGTTGTGAGAGATGGGAAATGGATGAATCCATTTATTATGGAGTAGTAGTTAGGGGTTAGTGCTTGGTAACAGTTGGGGGCTGGTTTGGGGTCACTTTTGTTCGGGTTATATTACATTTGAGAGTCCCAAGGTGGCAAATGTAATTGTTGGTCACAAATCCAGATGAGCTTTGTGGGTTTTAAGCGTAAGCAATACCCACTGCCCAAAACATACCAGTACAAGTGCCAGTATACAGTATATGTTGTGTGTTTTACAACAATACTTAACTGCATTTATAATTTCTTATGTATCTGTGACTAGAAAACAAAGCATGGCTAGTATCTGCCCTTATACACCCTAATTTGAATTATTTTATTTCATTGTAAGTCTCATTTTAAGATTTTTTTTTCTTCCAGTGGTCAAGTCACTCTGTTTTGCATTTACTTGTTAACTATGTATTCACAACAATTCTTCTTTGTAGCCATTTGTTTCATTCATGATTATTTCACCTTTTTCCGCGCTTCAGTTATATGTATTACTAAACAGGATAGAACTGTGTGCGGAGCCTGAAAACCCAATACAGGGATGCAGTCTTTCCACTGCAACGTGTCGAGGGGTGTGCGTTGCCCACTCTGTGGCCAAGAATCGAACTGTTAGTCCAACTGTTTTTGCTTTTCCCCTTCAGTCGCATTAAGCCATTTAAATTTGGGGGCGGTGAAATTCTGCTATGAAACTCGATTTTCTCAGTTGTCACATGATCACTCTTCTGCAGCAAATCATGAGTGGCTACTAAGTGATCAAGTGGACATCCTGCCCTTCCTGCTGCTTCCATTGGCCGGTCCGGAAGAACTGAGTGAGGAGGACAATGAAGGTTCGAGCTCTGATGAGTCACATGGATGAGTTTGAGGATGATGATGATGATGACAAAGGTGATGGTGATGTCATGGTGGTGTAGGTCTGCCTGTGGACCTTCAGTACCTGCCGGAGGACAAGAAGAGAGAAGAGGACCCCGATATCAGGAAAATGCTCTTGGAAACACTCATGCTGGTAACAAACAAACAAATAAATGTAGCAGAGCTGGCAAAAGTACTCACATGTGATGCCTAAGCGAAAGTATAAATACTTGTGTCGAAAAAACCTGGTAAAAGTCGAAGTACTGATTCCACTCCTTTTACTTGAGTAAAAGTAACTTCCCACAACTGTTTTTGGCATGTTTTGGCTCATGTTCTTCTCACTCACATCGATATTGCATTGTAGCTGACGGCAACGAAAGATGGCCGACGGACTATGAAGGACAAGAACGTGTACGTCATCATGAGGGAATTCCACCGATGGGAGAAGGACCCCAGAGTCACCACCGCATGTGAAAAACTGGTTGAGGTATGACCAATCAACCAATTGATTACAAGTGTAAAAGCTGCATCATAAACCAGGATGATAAACATTGTCCTCTATGTTGTGAGCCGATCTGGATTTCTCTTTGCTGATCACTTTTGCAATTAATGAGCAGCAGCTAAGGCGCAACTGCAAATGTGACATCACTCCCAGTCTGAAGCTGATGTTGGTTTCACCCAACGTGGCGGTCGTCAAATCTGCAGGTGCTGATCGGGGACGAGCCGGAGCAGGGCATGGAGAACCTGCTGGAGGTCAACATTCCGGATGACGTGCAGGAGAAGCTGAAGGAGGCCGACGTCAGAGAGCAACGGGAGCTGGAGGCCGAAGAGGAGAGGACACGAAAACAATAAGAGGAGGAGCAGATGAACATCAGTCAGGAATAATGTCACTTAGGATATACAGTATTTTCAAAAACAAGTTTTTTTAATGTAGCATATAAACTGGAAACTACACACCTAAATCGACTTTATTGATAACCTGTGCCCAACAATTACTACAGATAAAAGAGGTAATCACCCATTCATCCATTCTCTAAAGATTCCTCATGAGAGTCGCTGGTGAGCTTGATTCTATCCCAGCTTACTTTTGGTGAGAGAAGCGGAGTGAACCCTACACTGGTCGCCAGACAATCTCAGGCTACATCGACAACAAACCATTCACACTGACGTGGAAATCTAAGTATAAATTAGAGTCTTAAGCCTGTTTTTTGGGGGGGCGGGCGGGGGGTTCAGTCGGGCCGGAGCTAACTGAACTGCTTGACGGAAGGGGTCAAAATTCCACTTATAGAGGTCTGTGCAGAAGAGAGAGTTGTAGAAACAGCAGAGCTCATCCAGTGCGTTTAAGGGCCCTGAAAATGGGTGAGTTGACGGTGGTTCTGAGTGTCTGGAGATTGGTTCAAAAGTTGTGGTCAAATCACGTCCTTCGCGTGGAAATGGCTGGGATGGGAGCAGTACCATATGTGTACAGCAGAGGACGCACTCGCTGCATGGTTGGGGGTTAGTATTTGGGTTTCGGTCAGGCGGTTGTTCAATAAAGTGTGAAGTCATCAGACGGTGCATCATTACAGACACCAAGGAAATAGTTTTACAAAAAAGGTTCTTGGAGGGCGACAAAACGTGTGGGCGCAAGCGTTTACGTTCATCCCACGGCGAGACCCGCCTCCAACATGCTGCAGCCAGGGTTTACTCGGGTTAAGCGTGCGAGGTTCAATTTGGCCAGCAGGTGACGCAAAGGCTTCACCCAGTTATTACTGTATTGTCTGTTTTAGGACACATTTCCGGGTTTTAAAAGTCCCGAAAGTTCCTCACATTTACTTGCCTCCAAGCTCCCGGAAGACGTTCCACCTCAGTGATTTGTGTGTGTGTTTGATCATATTGCACAAACCAGCGAAAGCTATCCTTTGTTGGACCTTAAGGGGAAAAAAGAATAGATATACAGTATAGGTATAAATATTACATATTCTGGCGAGCGTCGAGTGCGTGCTGGAGCCTATACCGGCTGTCTTGGGGCAGAAAAGTAGACGGGGTACACCCTGAACTGTTTTTCAGCCAATCG